CCATCACCTGCATCCCTGCCACCATCACCTGCATCCCTGCCACCATCACCTGCATCCCTGCCATCGGCCTGGGCAGCCCAGGCTGCAGGAAACAACAGCAAACACATCTCCTGTGGCTGTCAGCAGGGACAAACAGTGCCAAAAGGGATCACTGAAGAGTGGGGTAAAAACACAGAGGGGAAATGCAATCGGATGTTACGAATTCTGTGTGTATCTACAAGGACAGAATCAGGGGATGACCCTCCACACTGTCCCCTGGATCAATATTCCACAGCACATCAGTAAATGGAAGACAGATGTTTAGAAACCATGTGACACTTACCATGTACAAATCCACTGAGAAAAAAAATGCAGTCCAAGTCCTAAAATTCTGTCTTGCACATCCCAAAGAAATTGAAATATGTGTAGTTTATTTCATTGTTAGTGGTCTTTCAATAAAATGTATATATCATATAATGTTGATGTATTTTATGTAACTTGGAAACTTGAAGCATTGCTCTGCAAGTTACATAAGATATAAATATTTGCTTCAGTAATAACCTCCTCCAAAGCAATCAATCACTTCTTCTTTCAAATACTTTAAAGGTTTTAAAAAACAAGGCTGTGTACAAAAGTAACACTAAAGAGTCACAAGGCTGAAAGGGGCAGGCAGGAGAGCAGCTCTATTCTCAGAAAAGTTGCACAATCTGACAAATACCCACTCTCTTTATAAATAGTGTCTCTGGAAGCCAGACCAAGGCAGGAAGTAAACCACTAATTATTTTTTCAATTTCTATTTTTTTCTCTTTCTCTCCTATAGAAAGCAGAAGCTCTGAGTGCATCTGCTGGAATCTGCCGTTGTCACTGGCTGAGGAACCAGTTCACAGCCAGAGGAAAGTCTAAGCCTCAGGACTGGGATGCTCAGCTGCTCCTCCTGCCTGTCCCTGCTCCGAGGGATCCCACAGGAACACTGCTGCCCACTGCCACGGTGAAGGGCTGGAGGGACTGCCAAGGGCCCTCCCTGGCAGTTTCCACGGCAGGGAACACCCAGCATTCCAGCACTTCCCTCGGTGCCCCACGGTAACTTCCCTTGGCTCTGCACCAGGGTAACCTTCCCTTGGCTCTGGGGGGAGAAAGGATCCATGCTCAGGGAGCACTTGTTCTGTTGGGATTGCACTTGGCAGCTGAACCCGTTACAGGCTTCAGAGCAAAAGCCAATTTTTTCTACCTTAGAGGGAGAAATAAAACTTTGTGGCTCTGCAAGACAGATGTCAGGGATTTGAGCATGAGCTGACAGCACATCACCTCCTCCAGTGCCTGTTTTACACAGGCAGAGCTCGGACAACAATAGTCATGTAAATAACTGCATCACTACACACCTGAGAGTCAGCCCAGCCCAGCCCAGCTCAGGCCCCACGAGCTGCATGGACTTGTTCCCAACACAAAATCAGAGGCAGACTGACAAGGCTCACAATTTCATTCTTTTCTCTCTGTTTCTCCAGGGAGGGGGACACCAGAGTGCAAATGAAAGCCACAACCCACTTCAGCTCCCCCAGGAACTACAGCAACTGCACCAGCGACAGCAGGATCAGCCAAGTCATCTTCCCTTTGCTGTACACGTTTCTGTTCCTGGTGGGCATCACCATGAACGGCCTGGCAATGTGGATCTTCTTCAAAATATCCAGTAAATCCAATTTCATCATCTTCCTCAAGAACACTGTCATTTCCGACTTTCTCATGATCTTGACTTTTCCATTCAAAATCCTCAGTGATGCAAAGCTGGTCTCGTGGGTCCTGCGAGGGTTCGTGTGCCAGGTCACCCAGGTTGTGTTTTACTTCACCATGTACATCAGCATCTTATTCCTTGGTCTGATAACCATTGATCGCTATCAGAAAGCCACTTCACCCTTCAGAACATCGACTCCACGGAGCCTTTTGGCTGCCAAGATCCTTTCCACAGCAATCTGGGTATCCATGTTTGCTCTTTCGTTGCCCAACATGATTTTAACTAACAAGAAGAGAACACCCAAGAACGTGAGGAAGTGTGCTCTCCTCAAATCCGAGTTTGGCTTAATCTGGCACGAAAGTGTAAACTACATTTGCCAGCTCATCTTCTGGGTTAATCTAGCAGTCATTGTGGTGTGTTACATCCTCATCAGCAAGGAACTCTACAAGTCCTATAAAAGGACAAGATGCACAGGGAAGGCATCCAAAAAGACCGTCAATCTGAAGGTTTTCATCATCATCGCCGTGTTCTTTATTTGTTTTGTGCCGTTCCACTTCACCAGGATCCCCTACACCCTGAGCCAAACGAGAGACGTGTTCGACTGCTCTGCTCAGAACACCCTGTTCTACCTGAAGGAGACCACGCTGTGGCTGACATCCCTCAACGCCTGCCTGGACCCTTTCATCTACTTTTTCCTCTGCAAGTCCTTCAGGAGGTCCCTGCTGGGCACCCTGCGCAGGCACACGGCGCTGCCGGGGCTGGGCACACGCACCAGGGAGCAGAACGAGGGGGATGACACGGACGAGACACCCATGTAGAGCTCCCCACACCCCTTCCTGGCCTTCCACCTCATCGTGGGGGGAAGGAGCACAAATCCTGTGGAGAGCATCCAGAGCTTCACTGACCCCTTTAGAAACTGTCCTGCAGCTGAAGCAGGAGCACCCTGGAACCACCAACACCGGCTGCAGAAACAGAAAGCTTGAATAACAGAGGAGTCTCCCCAACCTCCATCCTTGCCAAAAAAGGACCTCCTCTGACCCCAACCACCATGCCTGTCAGAACTGCAGGGAAGTAGTTTGAACTTAAAGGTAGAACTGTGAGGAAAACTTCAAAGAGAATCACGAAATGCTACAGATGAGATCACAAACTGCCAAGATTTTGCAGAAATAGATAAATTTGGGTCAGAGCAAAGTCCATGACAACACAAGATCTGGGAAATGCAGATAAAGTCCCCAGTAAATGTAATTTTTCAATACAGGGAGCTGTCACCTGGTACACAACTGGCAGACAAACAAACCCAGGCCAGATGTAGAAGAGCCATTTGTCTGTGCAGATTTTTGGTAACAGAATAACACTGTGCTTATCTCATTCTGTGCTTGCAATTCCTAATCCATTGACCAATAACTAATAGTTGTAATAGTTGTATGTCAGAGGAAATTATTTCATAATCAGGTTTATCTTAATATGACTTATATCCCCAAATTCTTCCCCTTACTACATAAATAAACAAAACTGTACACTTTTACAGACAACTATATATTATATTAGAAAATATACAAAGACTTTTTGCACTATACAAAATATTCAACCATTTCCCCTTTTGCAATTGGAAAACTTGGGAAAAAAAACCAGGGAAGTATTTTCAGGTACATGACCTCTGCAGGTATCACAACAACCACACATGAAACAGCCCGTGGGCAATTGGAATAAATTGTGTTCATTCATCAGCACTGCAAACAGCTGCAATTAATTAATATGTGTCACCAGCACAGCAGAGCTCAGTCCTGCCCAAGCCATGGCCTGTCCACCCTGCCCAGGACGTGTCCCTGCCTGCCAGGGCACTTCTGCCACTGAACCCCAATTTCCGAAGAAGTTAAAGGCAGCTCACCCACTGCTCACCCACTGCCACACTGAGCCTGGGGTCTGGGCATCTCTAATAACCTCAGGATGAGTTAAACCTTCCCCCAACCCTTCTGTGCCCTGGTGGTGCTGGTCCCTGCCCCAGCTGGTACAACACCAGTCACTGGGTTCTCCCACAGAGCACCAGGAGTGTGCTCCCACACCAGCCCACAGGCCCCCAGGCCAACCAGTTCCCACCAGTGCCCAGGAGGGATGTGCCAGATGCCCCAATCCCACCCAGCACTCATTGCACATATTTACTGCACCTACACCCAGGGACAGAATGGAATTACCTGGCAGCTGCTTCCCCTGGTCTGATGAGCTGCTCAGACAACAGACCCCACAGACACCGTGACCCACACAGACCTCACTGATGGGACACACAGAGGGACCTGGTACCTGCTGCCTCTGACAGCTGGGAACAGCACCAAGAGCTCAGTGTGGGAGAAAACAGGGAAGGCTCTGCACTGGCCATCAGTCCTGGAGCACTGCAATGGACTGTGTCACTTCACACTGTCACTGATGGGCAAACAGGAGGCGGGTTGGGCAGCCAGGGACACATCACACTGATGGCAATGGCAAGGGAGAGCTTCATCCCAGCCATCCTCAGGGCTCTTCCACCTCCCCAGCCATTTAACACCGACACCAGCCCCACATTGGCCAAAGTGTGTCAGGTACTGATGCACAAACCCCCCGTGCAGCTGCAGCCCAAGCACCCGGTGAATCCATCCACGCCTGCCCCAAAGGGACAGTTTGACCATGAGGCACTTCCCACACTGCAGCAAGCACAGAGCCAGAGCTGTCACATCAGTGGGCAGGAACAGACCTGCACAAACAGCTCTGTTCACAGAGAAATGCACCAAACCCCAGCATTACACCCGACAAACACATCATCAATCCACAGCCTCGCGTGCAGCGGGAGCTCCTGCCAGGCCCAGAAAGTGGCTGTAACCAGCACAGGGCATCATCTGGCTACACAGACCAGAATAAACCTGAGCTCAGGTTCATGTGTCAGCATTCCCAGGCCACAGGGAGAGGGGGCAGTCCCTGAGTACATCACTGCACATGGTTTTGGAGCCGAGTACCCACTGTAAGGTGACTCTGAGCAGACTCTGGTCACGCATTAACAACAACCAGTGCCATCCAGAACAGCGAATTCACACACACAAACAACCACTAGGAGCTACATTTGAGGATTATCCCGGAAAACTGTCAGGAAATACTCTGTGTTCGTTCATCCCACATCTCTAAAGGAGCCAAATCACAATGCCCAGAGCAGGAGCAGCAGGTCTGTCCCACACACACACAAACCCAGAAATGTGTCTGTCTTGAGGGACAGGGTCAGGCTTCCTTTACTGGTTTAGGAGAAGGCAGTGTGCTTTCCCATGCAGAGCAAAGGGAAGAGAGAAAGCATGATTAACTAACTTGGCGACACATGAAAATGAGGAAGGAAACCACAC